CGAATTTTGAAAGGTGGTGTGCGGGAAGTTCCATCTAATTTGATAACAACAAAATTTTTGTCATCGTCCAAACGTGTACCTTTTTTTTAATGTACCAGACACAATTTGAATGTTCCCAAGGTGAACTGAGTTTTAAAAAGTAATGATTATAGTGAAGTGAAAGATTCTCTCTCATGTTATTACGGCCAAACGTTTGATTCCGATGTGCCCACGTGCTTCAGCCAGTTGAGGATGCCATGTTAGAGTGTCTTTTTCCTTGCTAATCACAAAAAAAGAAAAATTTTCTGACTAAACTTGATATTCTTAGAGTGAAAAAATAAAGCACAAACACTGTGAAACACTGTGTAGACAATGTGTTCACAGTTAAACTCTTTCAGGCTTGATTTTTCCTTGTTCATACAAACGAGAGGAAAGTAATAAGCGAATTCCTAAGCTATTCAAAAACAGATATCTTTGCCCGATAGAATCAGTTCCTAGTTGGTTTTCTGAATAATTAAACAGAGCAAAATTACTTGCATAAAAGAGAGCTATACACAGTTTTTATTCATAGAATTGACAAAAATGTTTTGAAAGGTATTTCATACCTCATGTTCTGAACTTTTTGCTCTTATAATTCGTGAAAAATAGAAAAAATGCCAAAATACCAAACATTTATTATTATAATTACTCTGGCGACCACATTAATAGATTATACGTGGTCTTTTTGAATGGCTCAATGAGAAGGCGAATAGTTGTCCTTGACTACAGGAAGCTGAGCTGGTGAAGTATGTGGAACTAGGAGAAATGTAGATGAGGAATAACTGGCAAATTTTAACTTTTTTTTGAACAGTTACGAAGGCGGAGTCTGGAATGGATTTATGAAACCCACATTTTTGCCCGATTACCTTGTACCCGCGTACTTACCATTACTGAAAATCTCTGTATCGTAAATTAAATAAACATTTTTGAAGCCTTATGTTTTCTTCACGCTCTTTATGAAAGAGTTTTGTCGTCTAAATTTGATTGCTGATTAGTATGCACATTCCTCCACGACTATATTTCTGCTTCTTTTAATCAATTTTTATAACTCAAAAACTACATTGAGGGTTAATGATTCATGCCAAATATAAATTCATGCCAAGTCACGTTCATTGGTCAAAGTAAGATTCCCGTCGAAAATTAGGAGACAAAGAAACTGTGTTGTACTCTCATTAAAATTATACTTTTCTATTGGAGAAGATGTTTTCGGCTCTTTGTTGTTGGGTATTGGAAACAAGCTGCATAGTCCTGATGTGAAACAACTGACCCCGCTACGTATACCATTTTGAATTCATCTCCAAAATTAAACATTGCTGGGTATACTTTGCGGGTAAAAAACAAGCTGGCGCTGACGCTGATAAAATTAAATAATATCTTAACAATTGTTTAAGATATGCAACAAATAAAAAGTCCTGACGATGCAGCTGTTCTGTAGAGTAACACGTACGAAACGCCAAGAGTACTTGCAACCTTTTTGACGAAACTGAACTGTAGAAATTTTTCCTCTCTATAAACTATATATCTGTTGGTTTTCTTTTTGCAGATCTTAATTTCATTAAAAATGCAACATCTATGGATTCTCGTACCTATCGCATTGGGTGTATGTTTAGGTAAGAATATCTGGCTTTTTTGATCCCTCCTTCCTATATTCGATCTCCTACAGCGGTTTATGATTTTAAGTTTAGAGAATGACCATTAACATAATCTGTTTTTCTTTTTCAGGCGTGGTATCTGTAACAGCAGGTTCGTTAATTGTTTTATTTTATAATCTAGTTACCGATGAATAAGGTACAGTACTAATATTAATCTAAATTGGGAAAATATGGGGAAAAAACGCATGGCTCACTCGACTTTGTTAGTTTGAGGGTCGCTTAAGGTGCGCTGGCGATAATCTTAAGAAAATAGAATAGTCCCTATTGATGATATGGGGACTACTACGCTTTTTGATTAATTCTCGTAAAAACTGACCAAAACTATAATAATTAGAGCGGCCAATCAGAAGAAAGGAATATACCTTTAAGACACAATAAGAGCACAAAATTCACCAACTGAATTGCCTGAGGCGCGGGAAAACGTGAGCGACCAGGCCGTAATTGGTTTCAGTTTTACATCTGATTGGTTGAGAGAGTGGTGCGGTTTTGTGGGACGATTGTATGGGCGAGGTAATGCAAAAACAAAGCAATCCCGGACTGTTTGCTCTAAGAACTGTGATTTGATTATGGACATCCTAAAGTCAAACAGCCTAAGCGGTGCAAAATTGCTAATCTCAAGCCTTAAAAGCCTCAATATTTACTCGCTGATGAGTTTAAACACTGATTTCTATTCTTAAAATTAGATAACCAGTGCCACCAACAGAATATGGATGTAGCGATTTTTGGTGACATATCAAAGAGTATGAAGAAGCAACAACGAAGAAAGCTGGTGAACTTTATTGAAGAGTTACCGACTCAACTCTCGTTTCTGCTGATGGAAGTCATGTTGCTCTTGGCACTTTGCAAATACTGCTGATATTCATAACAAGCTTAACAATAAAGAATACTACGATGCAGGCAAATTGAGGAAGGCTGTAAAAGAAATCTTCATGGTTAGGCCAAAGAAATTTGGAACTCGTACAGATCTTGCTTTGGACCTGGCTGCCAGAGAAGTGTTTACAGCAGCTGGAGGGGACATACCCAAAGCCAAGAACGTCTTAATTATCGTAACTGATGGAAAACCTCATATCCCAAAGAGAGAAAAGAAAACGTTCATTCCTTTTGAAACATCAACGAAGGCGCTGGAGGTAAGTAATGAGATTTTATATCGGAAAGCAAATACCAATTTGTAGATGACATGACTTTTTCAACATTTAACATTTAACACTTATATAGCGCTTATCCGCATGCGTTCTAAG